CTCTCTGGGGAGGCCGGCAGAGGGAGGGAGGAGGACATCGGGTGGAGGAGAGAAAAGGGGTGGGGAGGCCGGCAGAGCGACGTAGGAGGGCATGGGTGGAGGAGGGAGAAGGTCGAGCTGAGGAAGTGAAGAGACGTGCAGAAGGAGGGAGGACGAGGTTCCGCAGAGGGTGTGGGGAGGCCGGCAGAGGGAGGGAGGAGGACATCGGGCGGACGAGGGAGAAGGTGTGGGAGGCCGGCAGAGCAACGTAGGAGGACATCGGGTGGAGGAGGGAGAAGGTCGAGCTGAGGAAGTGAGGAGGTTGGGTGGGGGGAATGAGGACGCCAGGTGGATATCAGGCAGGGGAGGCAGAAGGTCGGGCTGAGGAAGGGAGGAGGAGGTTGGGCAGAGACGGGTGAGGTTGGGCAGGAGTGAGGTGGCCGGCCAGAGAGAGTGCAGTGGAAGGGAGGAAGGAGGGAGCCCAGCAGAGACTCGGAGGAGGACGTCAGGCGAAGGGAGGGAGGAGGTCAGATGGACGAAGGGGAGGAGGAGGTTGGGTGGAAGAAGGGAGGAGGATGGACGGGGGCAGGAAGCAGCAGGTAGGACGAAGGGAGGACGGAGGGAGGGAGTAGGTCGAGCAGAGGTCGCAAGGTGGGGCAAAGGAGGGTCGGAGGAGAGAGGGTGGAAGGAGAGAGAAGGGAGGAAGGAGCGAGGGTAGGGAAGGGCGGAGACAGGAAGAAGCCTGCCAGTCATGTGGACGCTTCACAAATGACAGCACCGCATATTTAGTGCACATGCAGGCCAGTTAAATTCTAGAAATTATCACCATGTTCTGTGCATCAGGCTCGATATGCTGTCCCCAGCCCGCAAATGTTGGAACCGGGCATCGCTCCCTGAAATTTTGGACAGCTGTGTCCATGCTCTTGCATTCACGTGTGCAGCCATGGGGTATCCGAACCCATAGAGCAATGCATGAATGAATCATGCATATTCATGCCAGCATGTGCACACATCCATGCATCCACATACGGAAAGAGGTAGAGAAGGAGACAGAAGGGGAGAAAGGGAAGAGCGGCAGTTTGCATGTGCATGTGTGGGCGAAAGGGGGGAGGGAGAGGGGGAGATAGAGAGAGAGTATTCTGAGAGATGGGCATAGTATAAGGAGAAAGACATTGAAGGGGGGAAAAACTCACGATCCCTCAAAGGGACAGAGGTAGAGATGGAGAAGGGGAGAAAGGGAAGAGTGGCAATTTGCATGTGCATGTGTGTGCGGAAGAGGGAAGGGGGGGAGGGNGAAGGAGGAGAAAGTAGGAGGATGGAAAATGAGGAGGGAAGGAGGAGAAAGGAGGAGGATGGAAAATGAGGAGGGAAGGAGGAGAAAGGAGGAGGGCGAGGGACGTGGATGACGAGGACGAGAAAATGAAAAAAGTCGCCTGGCGCGCGATTTTCCTCCTCCTCCTCCTCCCTCATTCTCCCCTCTTTCCTCCTCTGTGGCAAGCGATTTTCGGTTTTCATTTGTGATTCTTGTCGTCCTCCCCCTCCTCCTCCTCCTCCTCCTACCTCCTTCCTCCTCCTCTCTGCTCCTGTCCTGGCACGCCATTTTTTTCCTCGTCCTCGACATCCACCTCCCTCCTCCTTCCTCCTCGTCTCCTCCCTCCTTTCTCCTCCCTCCTTTCATCTCCCTTCGCATGACGCTTGCCGACAATCTCTCTCTCTCTCTCTCTCTCTCTCTCTCTCTCTCTCTCTCTCTCTCTCTCTCTCTCTCTCTCTCTCTCTCTCTCTCTTCTGGACATCGCAGATGATGCCTGAAGCAGCTCTAATAGAGAGGCAAAAACTCACGATCCCTCAAAGGGACAGACAGGAGGAAAAACGACCTCTCTCCCTCTCTCTCTCTCTTCTGGTCATCACAGATGACGCCTCTTCAGCTCAATGTTGCACTTAAAAATCAGGACACATTATACACATATAGACAACAGAACTGATACGTTCACTTCCGTCACCTTCTTAGACTTGTCTGACACTTTTCCACATCCTGAAAATTACTGCCGCCTCCTTGTCATCCTCATCCTCACTTCTTAATATTACGTCTTAATAATAGACTTTAAGTTTATGGCCCTATTCATCCTTCTTCGTTGCCTCCACCACCCTCGTTCTTCTCCTGCCGCACCCTCCTTCCAGCTGCATCCTCTCCTCTCCTCAGCCACCCCACCCTGATCCTGATGATGTACTCCCCCTCTCCGGCAACCTCCCCCCCCCCTCCCTCCCAAGATCACAGGAGCCCAGCGCTAGCGACAGAACCAGATACCACAATAAGCTATAGTCAAAAGTCATTCTGTGTCCCTCAATGCCATTCTCTGCCTATTCCTCGATTTCATTCCAAGCTGCAACTGAAGCAGGGAAACTGTCAAGTGAAACCTCTTTCAGGCAAGCACAGCACAGCACAGATAAAGTAAAGGCCAGCATGGTGTTTGAAATAAACGGTCAACATAAACCAATGTGAACAGGACTAAAAGTGGTGCACAAGCACATTCTGAGGTTCCTTCATCTAGAGGTATAGAAGGCAGGCACAGAGTATTTGCAATCAGACTCGTTTTCAAACACACTATTCACACATGTAAACAGTAACGCAGCACACTGGCGACATGCGCCCACTCAAAACTCAGAGATATGGCTTCAGATACGAGTTCACTCTCAAGTGGCTATGGCGACTTCAGCGCCCAAACATCTCACTGTTCACATACACTGGATCACCCTGGATATCCCACACGCATCACTCTAACACTTCGAACACACACACACTCACTACTAACTACAGCTATGGCAGCTATGGCTGCCTCTAACCTATTGCTATGCTAACTCCTCCCTCTCTTGCCCACTGCGTCCTCCGGGCTCATCTGCAGACCTCCTTGCACAAGTCGCTGTGGCAGCGCTTCCGCATGGCTCACRCAGGAATGAATGAATGGCTGGGCGCTGCCTCTTGATTTATACTTCAGAAACTCGTTGGTCTGCCCTTTGCCATCGGCCCTTGGTGCTCACAGTCCCCCTGTGGTACTTGCTGGACTGGACTGGGACTCTCTAGACTCTTCTGCTGACTGTAGGCAATCGTACCGTCGACTCAGTGCAGTTGCACTGAGGTCCTACCTGTTGACCTTGCCACTTGTCTTCGTCTGAAAACGTGGGCCTCCCTTAGACTCACCACTTGACCACCTGCCGACCTTCTAGAAGGACTACAGCTAGGCCTCTGGACTCTACTTGGACTCCTACCTTACAGGTCTACAGTTCGAATCTCCCTACAGCCTACAACCTACGGTGACCTACTTACCACTGGCTATCGTGCAGGTCACGGGTTCAACTCCAGGGAACTGTGCAGATACTGTACACAGGTAAGCTGAGGTCAAGGGATCGACCCCTGGGATCTGCATCGGCTACTGCCAAAGGTGAAAACTGTTTCATATTTGATGAAAATAATTAAAACTATGACAGAAAAGCAGTGAGCCCACAATATTGCTTCACCCCCACTCCGACACTCTCTCTCTTCACCCCCCACTCCGACACTCGCTCTCCAGCACCGGAGTATCTCCAACTGCAGAAAACCAACAGTCAGGCCATTTTGCACAGAACTAGCCAACAGGCAACAGGCAACAGGAAAATTCTTATACCGACCTTCACATGTGCAAGTCGGTTACTGACAGCCTGTTTCCTCAATTTCACAATTTTCCGGCTAATTACACTCGCTGATGGCTTAAGCACAGGCTCGCCATGTGTGTTTCCGCATTCATCATTCCCATTACCCTGCACCGCACAGCATCCAACCCAGCCCCAAGTGGCAATCCCCATGCCAGGCAACGTATCAAACTCGTCAGTCGGTTAATCCTTTCCACCAAATAAAATGCCTATGACATTCTATCCCCCAAAAAGGGAAAGGAGATTCTATCCAAACATGACACCAGGTGATATGTGAAACAATGAATCGAACACCCCAGGGGAAGTGTGAAGCAAGGAATAGAACATCACATGTTGTATGAAGGCGCCCACATATGACCATACTAGGTAGGCCCTCCCTTTGTTAATAACGGTATAACCTGTTACAATTTTTTTCTGGCAAAAAACAAAAAAGAAGGAAAGACAAACACGCACACCACTCACAAAAGTCAAAGGCATTGCTGCCGTCTTCACCAGAATAGAACGCCCCGGTCATTATGGTTGCATCTAGACTGAAAGTTGTGCCTCACATATATGGCTATAATGACCGGGCGTTCTACACAGTAGAAGCATAAGAGATTGAGAGAAGGTGACCTGTCATATGCTGCATTGACAAGTGAATTGTGTTATCAATACCATGTGTTGTTCCACAATGAGAGAATTATTCCTCATCTGTGAGGGGGCAGCCAGTTCTCCGCACCACCACATTACTGCCAAAGGAAAATTCTCCCTCAAGTATGTGGCGCACAAAGAAGGAAGTGGACCGAGCGAAAAGGAAAGGGAAGTAGTGACACTCTCCCTCCTCTCTTGTCATCACCCTACTCCGCCATCGCATCCTAAATGCATCAGCAATAAAGAAGCACGCAACTCCTCGAAAGAACGAACAGCATATTATTAAGACAACTGTATCTCCTCTGCCTCTTCACATCAATTTTCCCGATCTCTCTCTCGCATCCTTTTTCCTGATCTCTGTGTTGCATCCTTTTTCCCGATCTCTCTCTCACATCCTTTTTCCCGATCTTTTATTTCGTCTTCCCTCCTGCATCATGCTCTCCTCCATCACTCAGCTTTCTTATTTTCTGTCAGTTCACAGCACAGAATCTCTACTGATGAAGAAAGTCCACGATGATGATCGAGAGGAAAGCAAAAGAATGTGAAAACAGCAATGAAACAGGGGAGAAAACCTCTCTCTCTCTCTCTCTCTCTCTCTCTCTCTCTCTCTCTCTCTCTCTCTCTCTCTCTCTCTCTCTCTCTCTCTCTTTTAATCCCTTTATTATCAGGGCCCAGTGCCCAAGGCAAACACACAAACTGAGATAGAGTTTTCAGTTTCAGGGGCCACAGGGCCTCCGAGTGCATCCAGCAAGCAGAGCCTAACAAAAAATAAAAAAATAAAAAAAACGCCCTCAGAAACAGCAGCAATTAAAAGAGCACAGCATCTCACATCCCATTCAACTGCCAAATGAGCATTGTCTTGAAGATATCAAGCCAAAAATACACTTTTTCCTTTTTTTTCAGGCCCTACCAAATTTGATGCTCCCACTGATGTATCACGTGCATGTTCAGTTGCCTGTGACTTTAGACGCCCCACGGGAACAGTGTCCAGTTCCCTGCCCCGTTCATTCTGATGAGTCGCCATTCCCATCTATTTTTGGATTGACAAAACAATCGCAGGCACATCCACAAACTGCTGTCCTCCGGAGGCCTTCGTTCAAGACAGCCTCCTGCCCCCTCTCACCGCCCTCTGTGCTGCATTCACCGACTTCTTCGTTGAATCGCTGCGGTCGACGATCCGACCACCCAACAGTTGCTTGCTTTACCCTCTGCTGCATTCACTGCCCCCCCCCCCCTCTGCTTAATTCACATGCCATCCATCTGCTGTACTGTGCACTCATCGGCCACTTTCCACTGCAAATGCACAAGGCACATCAGCATATCGTCACACTATGAGAGAGGTTTAGTCCTCCTTTCCCCTTTTCTTCAATTGGTCAAAATCCACATGCAGAGCTTGCGTCTTTCTCCGAATTGCAAAAGATTTGATAACCATCGCTATTTCTGCAGTCATTTGTTCAACTGTATTTTTTGATCGAGAGCTTCTTTTTTTTTTTCCCCTAATCTCTTTCTTTCAGGGGCCATGTTGATCATCTCTGTATCGTTCCAATTTTAACGGATGTCCCGAAAGACATTTTGATCGAGAGTTAGCATAAGACACAACAAAGTGTTTATGTCCACCTATCTACTTCTCACAAACACAATATCCTCCTGAGTACCTATGGTAGTAACCAGCCACATCTGCAAGCATGCGCTGTTTCCGGGTAAAATCGACTTTCTAAATGAGCAAAACCAGGTGCTCGAATTCATTTCTCGATTGTTCAACATTGCTACGCCGACGAGGATAGCAATATCATTGATCTATCCTCTGTCGATGCAGTGCTGACGTGGCACACAGCTCATTCTCCACCTCTTCGCCAACCGTCTTGCCCCAAACGCAAAACGCACCCTCATCTTGGATGCGTACAAGCTTCCACCTTGCATGACACGGTCATGATGAGGGTGTGTGCCACTGTGTGGCCCTACAGCTTCAACAGAATTTACTTCTCCATAGCCTTTATATATGTATAACATCTTCTGGCCATACATCTTCCTTGTGATCATCTTTACATTGTAGAATATATCTGTAATTGTTGGCTATCAGAAATCCTGTCAAGGTAAAAGTACTATCATGTTTTGGGTCACAGCCAATTCGTACTACTTTTTTTTTTCCCTGTCTTGCTCGCGCGGTGGAGATATTACAGCTCGCAGTAGATTTTCCTATTCCATCTTTTCTATCAGGGGAAGGTGGTGCTCTGTCTGCCTCATGTACCCAGATATCTCCTCTGCCTTTCCTATCTAGTCTAGTGTTTATATGCACACCACACAAACTGATGGCTCTCATTTCTTTTTATGTCCCAGAGCAGCTTTCAGATTTCCTAGTAAACTGTCACCACAACAACAGTCCCTTTTCCATCCAGATTCGTAGTACCAAACTCAAAGCAGCTATCAGAGTTTCCATGGTACACGAAAATGGAAGGGATACAGTCAGTAGTCTTGCAAAACTGATGGAGAGCCGTGTGCTTGAAAATCTTGCACGCACGGTTCGGAGGACACACAAAAGAGGAGCCAATCCAACATATGAAAGGGCTTTACCTCTATATAGCAAACAACATGAAGCAAAATAGATATGTTACATCCCTTTCTATCTATTGCAGGCCTCTTCAATCTCTCCGTGTGGCATATGAAAAAAAGTTTGTAGTCCAGAGCAGATTAGTTTAAGAATCCGTTTATCTCGGATTTTTCGCCGGATGATCTTATACAGAGTTCCATGATTTACGGCTCCAGCCAGGGCCTTCGGCTTCCAGGGATCCTTCAATATACCATTGCGCACCATGAAAGGTACCCATTATAACACAGAGGAGCCAATCCAACATATGAAAGAGTGTCACCTCTATAGCAAACGACATGAAGCAAAATAGATATGTTACATCCCTTTCTTTGTTGCCATCTTTACTTTGGCATTCTTTGGGGTACCCCTCTCACTTGTTCTTGCAGCTCCCCTTTTTTTTTTTTTTTTTGAGGGCCGCGCCGCGCTCTGCTGCAGTGCAATACAGAGGCAACGCTGGAGGGGCCGGGCAGGCAAGCCTGCACCTGGCCCCTGTCACTTGTTCTTGCAGGTCCCCTTTTACTGTGCCTACAATTTACAAGGCTTGCCACGTTGATTGTGGCCGAGAGCAAGCTGCGCACCTCCCCACGTGCCATAAAACGGCCCACTTACACGTTATGAAAGCAGGCAGAGTAAAAGGGGGGAGGGTGTACTCCTGTTTATTTTTCCTCAGATCTTCAGTTTATATTTTGTCTCTTCTCTTAATGATGCTCATTTGTGTGTCCAAGTTACCTTCCCTCCCACATCCAAACTATGGTTTGAGGTGAAGTATCGATCTCTGTTTTGTTATTTTTTATTTTATTTTTATTTCTTTTGGGACCATTTCTAGATGTATGCGTGTCATCCTTGCACAGGGGCCATGCTAATCTTCTCTCTCTGTATCGTTCCAATTTTAACGGGTGTCCCGAAGGACACAAGTACCGCTTTCTTTTTGGAAATGAATTCGAATTTGAGAGCCAAGAGCATACACTATTACACACAAAAAAAAAAGGACAAACACAACACACACACACACAAAAGAAAGACCACGCAAAGCAGGAGAAAAACAGATGGGTATGTCTTTGATGACCGCGGGATCAACTATCACGACAGATAATCAGAAAAAAGATAGCACAAACACAACCCACACCTCCTGATGCGCTGGTGGAAAGTCGGACGAAACAGTCTGGCACAGTCATGCCTTTTTTTTGTGGAGTTGTGTACAGCGAACATGACAAAACACACACACACACACACTCACACACAAACACACACACAAACACACACACACACACACACACACACACACACGCACGCACACACACACACACACAACACACGCACACAAACACACAGAACCATCCCTACACAAAAAAGAGAGAAACACTATCACACACGCCAACCTTTGATTTGACTGAGGAAAAAAGGAACGTGCAAAGCAAAAAGTTCTTTTTTTTTCTCAACTTCTGAAAAATGAAATTTGACGCAGCTTGCTTGCAGACATCAGCAAAAAGTGCCAATCAGCTGACAAACACCACAACTCGTTAAAAGTGGCTTTCTTGCCTGACTTATAAG